CAAGGAAGGGGCGAATGTGCTCTCCAGCTGCTGCAACTATAGACTCAATGCTGCAGACTCTCTGAGATCTGAAAACTGCCCCACTGTTGAGATAGGCATTGTAGAAATTCTCCTGTAGAGGAGTGTAGAAACCCTCAGATGCTCTATCATCTCTCCTTGGTGGGAGCCATACCTCAAAATCAACGAACCTTAGCTGCTGCACCTGCTTGGCCGTGGTGGCCCTCAAGTAAAGATGGGTCACTGGAGGCGGACCTAGTGGTCTGGGCAGTGGACGAGAACCTCTCCACTGAGTGTCTGCCCTCGGTGTGACTGGAGCATGGGTATGACCAAAGCGGCGTAACTGTGGCTGAGGTGCCTGCTCGGTCTCCTCTGCCTGCTCTCCCTCCTGAGCCTGCTCTGTCGGCTCTGCTAGCTGGGGCTGCTACTATGGCTCCCCCTGAGGCTGAGGCTCCTCAATAGCAAGACAACGTCCTGCCATCATGATGGTCCCAGGTGGACCACCATGAAGATGCTCAATGCGCTCAAGTCGACCCTACGCCTCTGGTGATAGGTGATCTGCAATAACAACTCCATTGTGGGGACCTCCTCTCTCGGCACGCTCTGTAGCCTCTGCAACTGTGGCTGCTCTGGCTGTCTCTACATCAGGGTACTTGCGCTTCTTAGAGGCAACCTTCTTCGTTGCCTTGCCTTTAGGGTTTGCAGGCAAGCGAGGTGGACGCCTTGGATCCTCATCTCCTGGACCACCACCGACATTCTTGGTGTGAGCCATCTGATAAATCTGAATAGAATCAACTGCTGCTGACAAGAAAAACTGCCGCTGACACTTCCGAGGCTTGGCCTCAATCCGTACTCGCGAGCTTGGCTCTAAGTTGACTGACAACAGCCACACGATCTCAATGGCACTGACTCGCTGCACGATGGAATAGATAGGATATACCAATAAATACAATATATCTAATAGGTGCGAAACCCTAGGAAGCAAGCAATTTAGATACGAAATTGAAGCGACTGTCATTCTACCTGATGAACCGACGATCCGAAGAAAAGAAAAGTGACACGCGGGGAACCACCGGAAGACCTAGGGTTAGGGTTCGCGATGAGCGGTGAATCGATGGCCCTGAATGCAATTCAAAATAGTGCTAGCAATGTGGGTGCTGAGCTAGGTTAAGGGCAATGGCATTAGGTCAGACCCCTTACCGGCACTGGATGTGGACGGCAGAGAGGCAGCTCTGGACCACGGTGGCGCAGACCACGGCACGGGAGAAGCACAGTGCGGGTTAGGGCGAGACCTCGACAGCGCTGGAATGGAGACCTGACGGCGCGCTGGGTGGCGCAGAGCAGGGCGCAGTGGTGCGGTGAGCATGGGCGCGGCGAGCACCGGCGGCGATTTTGGCGTGGGGAGCTGTGGTGATGGCGCGAAAGGCGGCGTAGGCAGGAGGCTTAGGAGCGCGGGGAGGAGTAGCACTAGGCACGGTGGAGCTGGGTAGCACTGTGGCGCATGCGGCGGCTAGGGCACGGGAGGCGCGGTAGCTCGGCGAAGTAGGCGCTGTGGAGGCGAGATGAGGCTTAGATCAAAACGCAACTTAATTATATGGTGGCCCCCATGAATCAGATAAGGAAACAGGGAAGAAACCTGATGCCGCATGATATCTACTGACTGGACGCTCCGATGGTAGCGACCGGACGCTACCACCCAGCGTCTGGTCGATTCCAGAGAGGTCCAGATCCTCTAGAATCATGACCGGACGCGTCCGGTGGACACCGACCGGACGCAGCCAGAGTCCGGTCACCTTGCCTTGACATCTTCATGAACGACCGAACACTGAAGCTCCTTCTGACCGGACGCTGGGAAAACACTGTTTCAGCATCCGGTCACTCCTTCGCAGCAAGTTCACCTCCTGTGAACTAACCAGACGCTGGACATCAGAGTCCAGTGCAGCGTCCGGTCACTCCTTTTCCAGCAAGTCTTCACTGTCCTTCGTGCTGCCTGTTCCCAATCAAGTCCCAACACAAATAAGATCCAAATAAACACCAATTAGGACTGATGTGAGTGACCTCTCTCAAACCCTCAAGTTTTTCAAAATATTTTGCCTTAGGCTATAATTCTTTTTAAGAAAATAGGCAATAAAGGGTGGTTTAAGATAAACAACAAAACAACATTCATGCATATGCAAAACTTGAAAGTAAAACTAGTTGCTTGTCAAGTTTGATCCAAGGTTAAGCTTCTTCACACGCTTTTCGGCGGTTATCTTAACCATGTTAGACAAGCCCTATGTGCATTACCATAAAATAAACATGTAGTATATTACAATGCAATGCAAGAGACAACACAAGCTCATCTTTTAGTGAAGTTACTAAAATCAAGTACATTGAGCTCATTTCGCAATCGACAAAATGTTGCCTCATCTAGCGGTTTAGTAAAGATATCCGCCAATTGATCCTCGGTTCTTACACCTTCTAGTGATATATCATTTTTAGCAACATGATCTCTAAGAAAGTAATGACGGATATCTATGTGCTTGGTGCG